TGCCACTCAGAGCTTTATATCTCAAAGATCTGCGGGGCACTGCTACTGCGCCCGTCAAGCTAAAACACAAGTTGACAAGTCCCTTGTGCCTGTAATTTCAGAAGCACGCTTACACGCAATGTTCACATTACTGCTTGCCTGGAGAAATAGGTAAGAGGCAGTACTTCCCTGGATGAATTCTTTCACAAGGAGCTACATTGCTACTAAAAAAAGATACCAATCCGCGAACCTGGTATAAAATATCAATATATAAGTACCTACTGCATTTAACAAAGGTTATTTCGATATAATACAGCACGAGGCGACTCTGTGATGAATACCATATTTTTTTCAAATTATTTTTACAACTAAAATAATAATGTAACCCCACGCTCCGCACAGTGAAGTGTAGGCATTTATACATCGAATAGACTTGCCCTACTTGCTTTTATTATACTGTAGTAGATACCCTGACTGATAAGAATTGATGCAATAGTATATAATATCTACCTACACAACACAGTGTCAATATAAAACAGTACCTATCACTACTGAAGATTATATAAATTCATAAACTAAGTTCTTATCCTTACCCTAGAACTAACGGAAAATATATCTGACAAAAATAAAACAATCAGATTGACTTTCTTGGCGAGTGTACCAGCGGAATAATTCAATAACAAACTATAATTGTAATGCGTGTAGTTCAAAAGTAAATTTTATGATTAACCACGTATTGTGTGTGGTTCGTGTTGTAACTAACACCCGTGATCCTAATTAACTGCCGTCGATGGTTACAGTATTTCGTATTAAATCAATTAAAGACATTAACTTAAGAAATATGTGCCAAATATTTTTATTGATTCTATCAATTAAAATTGTTGCCTAGTTGCCATACACTGAAAAAATGATGTAATTGAACTAAATTGACTAAACATTGTCAAGGTGCTCATATAATTTGTTTCCTTATAACATGTTCTGAATCTTTCAACCAACTACCGTGCTTGTGTTTTTGATTACAGTAACAATTTTATGTAATGAATTTAACCACGTTGTGATTGATTTATTCATGGGATTATTTCCATCAAGTATCTTGATAAGCTAACTTGATTAAAGTCCAATGTTTTTCAGTATACTACGTAACACTAAAACTAACGCATAAGAACTTAATCGATCCTTGATACTTAATCAAGTATAAGATTTTAACTAACCGAAGCATGTTAAATTTGCTGCGTTTGTTTACAAAATGATTTTACGTCACAACTTCTAATGGTGGGAAAACCATATTTTCGCGCGTTGGCGTTTCATATTTATTATGTATTGTTTTATGTGCAAGAAGATTCTAATCACAAATTTAACTTTTGGACTCTCCCAAATTTAGTAAAATAAAATACCAGTAAATTTTTCGTAGTTATGTTATTGTTAACATGCGCTATAAGTATCCGTAATGGCGCTCACGAAATAGAAATACAATGCATTCACACGCGTTAATGCAAATTGAATAAATGTATTGATTCACTAGACCCTATAGGATCTATAAAATATCTCCCGGTTAAGATGATCAAACAATACCTGTTTTTTAACAAAATAGCAGAATGAACATCATCGTGCGTTAGATACGAAACCGCAGAAAAGTATCGCCTTAAAAATGAGTATTTTTGAGAAAGAGGTAAAAAAGAATGATAAGATGGTGGCTCTTAACATTTCATCTCTTTGTACGTTTGATCTTTTGTTTATATTCCTTTGCTTTTTTTAATAGAAAATACAGGACTGGCTTTTTTTATGATACCAAGTGACAGGATGAACAAGTCGTGCGCCTGGTTGTAAGTAACACGTCTGTCCATAGCAGTTGCAGTCCCATTCAGAGCTTTACACTGCCACTGCTCCCGTCACCATGAGACATAAGTTGACAAGTCAGATGTGCCTGTAATTTCAGCGAAACGTCTAACTCGAATGTTCTCGAATATCCAATCGAATGATTCGGTTAAATACTGAATCGACCTCCAGCACTCATACCCTTCAACACCGGAACGCAGTAATGCTCACATTACTACTTGGCGGCAAAAACAGGTGAGGTGGCAGTACTTCCCTGGACGAACTATGACTCTATTGAATGTAGAGAAATTTCAAAATTATTTTTAATAACGCCTTTGTAATTATTCTTCACATTACCGATGTGACATTCCTAACAATCGTGGCGCCCATTCCTGCTATCATACCTCATGAGCCCCTTCCCTCCCCGCTCAAGGAAAGACGTAACTTCGAATTACAAATAGGACCATGCGGTTTAACCTGTTGCATGCACCCCAACTTCGCAACCCTCGCGGAAACTCTTATTATGTAACTTAACAGACATTAAAATCCCCACTTTGCCAAGTATAATTGAACATAACAACATCTAGTTCGTTTTTTAATTTAAACGTGCACTGGCAGTAAATTGTGTGCCAATATTTCCAACGTTGCATGAAGTTAAGAAGGGATTTTGTCCATTTCCAAACTACAATAAGTGAACATGCATCTCCTATAAATAAACAAATGAGACTTCATGCAACTTACAAATAAATTCAACACCGCTTTCGATTATTAAACATTGAACTTTTGCATTATGGCTGCATTTACAGTAGGTACAATATGGTTATTTTTACAGAAAGGAAACTCAACAAAATAAGCAGATGTGTCTCTGTAAGGTGTTTCTATGAGGTCATGGCAGACTATGGTGTGGTCGGTGATGTTAAAAATTTAAAAGCGCGCCGAGAGCGGGGCGCGGGGCGCCGTCGTGGTTGTCCGTGCCAGGTAACAGGAGGTACGGCCGCACACTGGACCCATGCACAGACTCACGAGGACAAAATCAACTCTACATTACTTGGTATACCACTATATATGCCGTTGCAAGTACCACACTATATTCATAAACTTAAAAAAAATCAAGCATCTACCATCTCCTTATTGATGGTAATCAATTACCTTTTATTATAATACAAAGAAATCTATTACGTTAATGAGAATTCAATGACTTTTATAATGAACGAAACCTGTTGCGCTATCACGATATAATGCACTGCTTCTTATTAAGGAACTAAATACATAGTATAAACTAAGTGCTAATGTGGTCACAAAACGTATTAATTAAATGAAAATATTTGGGCCGGAAAAGTGGAACAGAACCAGTGTGCGCTCTTAGAGCAGCAGCGGTCGTCCTCCCTCCCACAAATGCATGTGTTCTTTCTCTGTCGCACCACATCACGTCGTCTCTCTCTGCTATCGTACTCAGTCACCGCGGAACTAGCGCAATTTACAGGTGTGTCGACAGTGAACGACGCGCCGCATATCGTAAATAAAACCCGTTTTGAATACTGAAACTACGTTTAAACAATACAATTTCGAAAAACAACATTGGAACACTATAATTGTGTTACTTGATCAGTGATTTTAGTTCGTTGGTGCATCGACCTGTGTCCAAGTGGTTTCGAAACAGTGACAGCAAGTTTTTCTTGTGGTGTGTCGGTCCTTGAGTTCGGAGGCTTCATCATCGCCGCTGTTCTTTCTTCTAGATTGCCGACAATTAGTGGTCAAGGTACGCTTCATTGATTTTACCTGTTTAGACAACTCTACGCATACTGGGAGAGTTATGTACGCTTCTAGGTTAAATCGGATATTTATATGCAGAAAACATTCAATATACGGTTTGATGGTAATATAAAATGCAAAATAGAACTAAAAGTAATGTTATATAGGCAAAAATATCCAATTATTGCTCCTCCTCACTGGATTCCTTAAATTATACTATTGTTTTGTTATTTATTTTTCTTTCTGTAGATTATTTTAAGTCTTTATAATAAAATAACAATCTTTTGAACACAATGAAGGCATCCTCAGAGAACAGTTAAGTCAGCTACAGACAATAGTTTGTTTACAACCTCGCATTTACGTCGTGATCAAGTCATTCTTAACATATTTCTTTCTTTTCTTGAAGTATATAAATAAAAGCAATGACGTTATTTCAATTTTCAATTGCATTAAAAATAATATTATATAAGTAAATTGATCAGGTGTTATTGTTCGGGAGTAGTCAAGTGTAGAGTCAAATAGGAGCGGTTTTGTTTGTATAACTACCTGCCCTACCTTACCGCTGTGCGTATTGTTATCCAGTGTGTGCAGAGCTTTATCGAATTGAACAAAAAATGGTTTATTTAGGATCTGTTCACAAGACTAGCTGATAAATAAAGTATAGTGAGTGTATATTAAAAAATTTCAGAAATAGGTATCCAAAAAAAAAACAAAAAATTAAAATAAATAGAATAAGTTAGGGTTCTAAGAGAAAAAAATGCTTTTTTTTAATTTAAATTCACCTTTATTTCTGTAAGCAATAAGAATCTCGATCAGAACTCCAAGAAATATCCTTACCGGCTAGTAGACCGTGAATCGGAATTATCACTGCCCATAAACAATAAGCGTGAACATAAATACGTTACTTGTTTCTGGCAAAATGCCGTGGGAACGTTTTACTTCCTAATTATAATTCTTTGGCAAACGCATCTTCATGAATGCACCTACTTAGGGGACTCATCATATAAATGCATTTTTAAAATGCTTTGTATTTTACAGCATTTAATAAATTACCATAGAATTAACTTAGAAGAATTCTAGAGTTGTTATTTACATTCATTATAAAAAAAAAGATTTGTAGGTAATAAAAACCATGATTTATTTAAATTAAAATAATATGATATTTTCATCCTCAAAGAGAAACATTTGCCTTCATAATGAATCAAGTAAATAAATATTGACAAACAACTAAGTTCTGCAAAACTAATCTCATGCTTACCATACAAAGTAACGTCACCGGTGGACTGCGCGAGCGCAGGTCGTGACTATAGATCGAAGCATCGCGATGACTCACTATGACGTCATTGGACATATATTGGAATGAATAGAAATTCTCACAAAATAATTCCGATCTTCACTATTTACAAACACTGAATTCACTATATTAAGCTTCACTCTACAATTTTAACTATATTTAATGGATTACTTCAACTTTTTATTTATAATATCAATAATTATTATTGCCCACAGCAGCGACAAGGCTTGAGCCCGTGGCCGTATTGGTAACTAAATTACTCTACTACTATTCATTGAGTAATTACAAAATATTAAAACAAAATTATATAAAAACATGAAGCGTTGGATACAAATTGAAAATCCAAAGAATAATAACTATGACTGATATGACGTGTAACCAAGGGATACAAATGTCAGTCAAATTTCCAAAGAGGGTAAAACGTCATTGGAGCCTTTGGATAAAATATTATTTTTTTCCATTCTTCAAAGGAACAAAACCACAAAATTTAGTACGATGACCATGCTGCCAAGACCATTATAAAAACTACGCTTGTAACGTTAAAAAAATTTAAATTTCATAAAAAAACAAGAACAGGCCCTTGTCGTCTTTTCGGCCAAAACCATAAAACGAAGAAAACATACTGATATATGAAGAGGCTGTGTAGTAGAGTCTTTGCCTACCCAAATAAATGACCGAAATAAAAAAGTAGTGATTACATTAATCCAATGATCTTACAAAAAAGGCATAATTTATCGATAAAATTATTTTACACACACAAAAAGACATGAATCTAATAATAATGTTAATATTCTTACACTAGCGCTACACGAAAATGTAATTTATGTGAAGAAGAATAACATTTTTTAGGAAATGAAACTATTTTTCCGGATTTAAATCGCGTAGATTCAGATTCAGATTCAGATTCATTTATTTCTCAAATATAACATTACAGTATAAATTGCACTACATGTCATAGTATAAGAAATTATATTGAGATCGTCAAAAAGGAAAATTATAAGAAAAGCACACAATAATTAGAAAATTAACAATACATTTATATAATATTGTTGCCATTAAATTATATATCAAATATCATTCTCCATCAAGGATCGTCATAAGTTGATAACAATTATACAAGAGTATGTTAATGCGGTAAAAATTAGAATAAAAATAGAAAATACTGAATTCGTTACAATTTAAAGTCCATAAATTCTTTTACGGAGTATATAGGATTTTTCAAGAAAAGGTCTTTCAGCCGGCGGCGCCCAAATATTTCGTCAGACGGTTCAAGTCTGAGAGTAGCGGGTAAACGCTCATAGTAAGTAGGTCCGATGACACGCGGGTTTTTCTCTGCAAGTGCCATGCGTCGAGGGATTGTTCTCAAATGACCGGTACGGCGAAGTGGGATACCAGAAACATTTACAGTACCAAATGAAGACAAATTATTTCTAACATACATTATCATTTCGTATAAGTAGAGTGAGTAGTGCGTCATTATGCGTTGCGCTACAAAGAGATTTCTGCAGGAATGTCTGTGTTTTACCCCAACCAATAAGCGTACGGCACGTTTTTGCATTAGCATGACTCTATTGGCATCTGTAGAGTTACCCCATATGAGTGAACCGTACGACATCAGCGACTGGAAATATGCAAAATAGACCTGTCTTAATGCAGAATCAGAAATGTGCAATTTCAGTTTACGCAACGCAAAGACTGCACCACTCAGTCTATCACACAGTCTGTCAACATAGCACTTCCAGTTAAGGTTATATATTATATAACCTTAACTGGAAGTGCCAAGTACGTATATTTGCTTTTTCAAACAAACCGACGTTTCGGACCCTTTACAGGTCCCATGGTCATGGTTGACCGAGGTGGTACAGTCTTCAACCAGTTATGTCTAATATTGATGCAAACCACCCTGTGTTTTCACTATAGTTACAATAGTTATTAATTAAATACCTTATTTTTAATTTTACAAAGAAAACATTCCAATTTACGCTATATTAAGTTTTACAAATTATTTTATCGAATGAATTTTTATTAAGTTCAATTTATTATTAATTATTAATAGAAATTAGAATAAACTAAAACATATTAATTAGTACTGCAGTCTTATGTCTGTTTGGGATTTTTCATTAGAGGAAATACTGGATCCCAAACAGGTGGTACGGAGAAACCATCTTCCCTGTTGAAATTAGGATGTTTTTTAATTTCAATGGCCTCTCGCAGCATCCTGGGTAGATAACGGACTTCTTTTGCAAGGACCTGGGGTTTGTCAAACTTCATTGAATGTGTAGGTTTATCCTCACCTCAGTCAACCGTGACCATGGGACCTGTAAAGGGCCCGAAACGTCGGTTTGTTTGAAAAAAAATATACGCGATTTAAATCCGGAAAAATAGTTTCATTTCCTATGTGTAACAATCGCGAAAACCTAAGAACTCGAAACATTTTTTTACTTTAACAAAAAAGAACAGACCTTCCATTATATGACGAATGAAATTAAACTGGCCGTTCTTGACAGTCGTTTTCACAAAATCACAAATTCATTGAGGAAATGTACATATACGCTTCTGTATAAGATTCCGGCTGATATTCAAAATTTGCTTTCACGACGTATAAAATAAAACTTTATACTAAAATACTAAAGGTTTTTTATACAGCTTCTGCGTACTTGGATGACAAAAATCCGAAGTACCCTTATATCCTAAGAAATAATTCTAATTCTAAAATTCCTTAGGAACAATCCTAAGAAAGACCCTTTTAGCTCTTGCAGGTTGTCTCAACCTATGATGTTGATTGTAAATAGTAAATTTATACAAACGTTTATTTACAAAGAGCAACCCCTGGAGTTTTTTGCTCATTCTTCTCTGAATCTGCCTTACGAATGAGCCGTAGAATTTAATCAATATGACTATTTCAAGAGTAATTTGCTTTCCTATGAAATAAATATTATTTGACTTTGACTGAAAATATTATTACCGATATCGATATCGTATATCATAAAGTTCAATATATATTGTTCCTTGTACAGTCTTGTGCACATAACATACAAAATTTGGACATAGTTATGTAGAAATGTTTCAATCCATCATCACGGAAAACTCGTAAATATATTATATTCTATCATGTCCATGTCGTCGTTTTATTTAATTGCCTAAATATAGAATCCAGTCTCTCACAAACGTTTAACCTTTCACATACTTTATTTAACATAATATCTACTTCTTTGTGTTTTGAGGTAGTATATATATTTTTTATTATTATTAACATTATTTTTATTACGAGTTCATACGAATGTTGACACAACAACTGATCCTAAAAGACGATCAAGGTCCAAACTTTGAGTAGGACTGACCTTCTTTGGCTCGAAAAACCATTGCGAGACGAGGTCGACCACATCCCATTGAACAGATAGTGTAAACGCTACGACTATAACAAAACAGCCTTCAATTGTTTCATATGAACACCAATAGATAAATTCAATAGCAATTGAATGCAGGATACCTACAAAGAAAACCAATATTGCAACTTTCTTTTTCTTCCTCTGATTGACATGTGTTGTTTTTATTTCGTTGAGTGTATCGTAATAACGTTTGTGTGCTTTTATGTACATACCTACGTACAATAATTTCTTCAATTTATATCATTTTTGATATATTAAATATTTGCTTTTTATGAATTTGTTTCTAGAAGTAATTCTAATGAAAAGCTAGTTTTAGTAACAAAAATACATATATTGATGTGACGCGACGGTACAATAGAGTAATAAATTAGGTTGGATCAGTGAAGATTCTGTTGCTTTTTATAAAGTACAATACAATGAAACATTTACTATACAGCACAAATAATAAAATACAGAGGAAAAACACGTTTGTTTCTGTTATGTTGTCTATAGGGATAGATTCCGCAAATAGGCATTTAATTTATTGCACATTTGAGGAGAATTCTTTATACATTTCGAAGGAATGCTTGTAAAACCAATGGGACGGTATTTAGACAGACTCAATTTATCGCGTTTCTTGAAAACGGAAGTAAAAACGGCATATTTCTCATTATTAGGCAAGTGATCAAATTCCAGTTGATATATACAAGCATTGGAGTTTTTTTGCATTTCTCAAGACTATGGCCGTTATCCAGATTCTTACTATTTAAAAAATGTGTTGTGTGGTGAATTCAGTATCACAGATAAATTTAATTCGAGGCGATTCAAGAATGTTGTTACTACCTTACGTCGGTTCAAATGAGGAAGCTTTAATGAATTCACAAGAAAAGGTGTTGTTAACAGGATCTGTTGCTAAGTTAACTTGTGGAGCAGCTATAAAGTATTAGCATCTCAGCATTTAAGTGTCATCTAAAATGTAGAATAGGTACGTATAAGTCTAGTCATTACAATTCGTGAAGATTAGTTATTTAGTATTCATATTATATTACATATATGTTAGTCTTTAAGGTATTATTATATGAATGAGACATAGTTGCTTGGTTCAAATTAATAAAATAAAAAGCTAAATAAAAATTACAGAAAACTTTTAATGGCGCCTACTAGTGGCGCGATCGGCGTCTACGGGATACGGCGTCTAGTGGTAGGTGGGTTTTATATGGTCATCCGAGATCAAAAATATTGCTATTTACGTTTTGTCCGACCAGCTAAAATTACAGTCCACTTTTCGTTTATTCTTATTACAAATTACAATTTCGTTACCACCATCCATACGATAAGAAGATCGCGGGGCCTACTATGAGCTCTTACAGCAATCCTATTTAAGCTTGTAAGTTGGATTGCCTGTCAAATTCGTACTATGATCTCACAAAAACAATTCACTGTCCATGTTTACGTTCACGTTCAATTTACGTTCCCCATTCGAAATCCGTTCACCTTTTCTTTCATAGCAAAATCGTATCATGACGTGCCTTTTGCCAAGCAAGTGGCGGCCTCATCTGCAAATATAAGCAATTCAAAAAAAGTTACTCGGTTTCTAACTTTTTTTAGATTTTGTTACATTTTTAAGAAATTTCGTTTAAATTTTGTTATACTTTCAGTTTCATAATTATTTCTTATCTTTATAGGCTGTACCTTAGAATAATAACGCATAGAATGATAGTTTCATATCAAACGAACTGTCACAAGTGAGGCAAAAACCAAATTCATGTAGGCGTAAGCAACTTGTATCTACGCTCGTCGGCACGCAAACAAATATACAAATAATGATGCCATGGAATAACATTTCCCTCAAAAGTGGGGAAATTGTAT